CAGAATAGAACCAACATGTCTAACAAGTGGACCAGTAAAACAAAATGCTCTCAACTGGTCAGCTCGTTTTGTGCTACGCCACAGGCAGGGAAGAAGCCAGTGCCCAGTACATCGTGTTCATCCCGGAACCAAGATACAAAGTTTCGTCAGGATCTCCCTCAAGGTCGGCAATATGTTCAGTTGAAAGTAAACCTCCAGTTTGCAATAAACAAATTGACGATAACGAATGGAAAATACAAAAATTGAAGAAACCAAGAGCAGTGTCTAATGACCTGAGGCGACGTAGCATCATGATATTTCACGCAACTGAAACAACTGATTCAAACCCACGGGTGCGCAATGAGCACGACGTCCAGTTTTACAATCATTGATTGATAGACAACTCTATGTAAATGAGGGCGGGCTCAAAGTTCAGCAGATCGCCGGTTTAGGAAAAAAATGGAGGGCAAATGTCGGCCTCTGAGGGTAACTGTTGTCGAGGAAGCGGGTGCCAAGTTACTCTTGTCCCGTCTTCATAGGCTGCAGGGTCTAAAGATCCACGTGCGCGCTGACTTAGACCCGGAAGACAGAGAAAAGCTAAAGTCTCCTATGATCAAATTAAAGCGACGCACGGCGGATGGGGAACCCAATCTGCGAATGGCAAATTTTCGGGTGGTTGCTCGGATTCCTCCACGAATCCGGATCAACAGTTCTCTTATGCTTCAGGCGCGCCCAACAAGTCCTACTGCGGTCTGCGCGTAGCCTTTACGAACGTATGCAACCTGATGAACAAGCGCGATGTGTTGTACGACTTTGGAAGCTCTCAGCGACCAGACATTTTAGGCCTTGCTGAAACATGGGTAAACTCCGACATAACCGCCCAAGAAGTGGAAATCCGCTGTGATAGGTCATCAAATGATCGCGGTGGCGTTCTACTTTACATAAAGTCTTCCTTGTGTGGGTGACTAGTGAGCGCCTACCAAAGCGCTGATGGTCTATGTGGAGCAGTTATGGTGTTCGATCCACCTCAGACGCTGCGAGTTGCTCGTGGGCGTGGTATATCGCAGCCCACTGAGCCGCAGTTTAGACTGGTTGCCGCATGTCCGCAAATACACGATTCGTCCGATGTTCCTACTCATGGGCGATTTCAACTTGCCCCGAATACAGTGGCCTGAAGCCTGAACTTCTCCCGGCCACTGTGAAGTCGAGAGGAAGTTTACGGCTGTTAAATTTGAAACCGCGGCCACACAGCACATCAACCAAACTGACACGCATTACTGCGCGCGACTCCATCATGCTTAGACCTGCTGTTGACTAGCTGTGAGCAGCGTGTACATAACATTCAAGTCTTAGAGCCTCTGGGAGCGAGTGACCACTCAGTGATCATAGGCAGTTTAGAACTACCGCTACCGTATCCACTCCCACTAGAGTCAACATTCAACTATTGGAAGGCGGACTTTAATGGCCTCATTCGAGCAGCGAGCCAGATAGACTGGGCTTTACCACAGGATCTCGTTGTTCTCGTGACGCCACAACGATGGGCAACCAGCAACGTCATCGGCCTCTTTCATTTGCCCTATCAGCTTAGACGGAAATCCTTAAGAATCTACAGCAGTCGGTATCGGCGTTTGCGGGGGATCTCATAATGGTTTACCAGATTCTGAGGAATCCAAACCACATTTGCCGTCCGCTGCTGGAATTGAACCACAACACTAAACTAAGAGGTCACCACCAGGAACTGACAATTCAATATAGCCGACTTGAATGCCGTAGAAATTTCTTTTCTCCCCACGTGTGCCAGCCATGGGCGCCCTCTCTAATTATGTCGTCTCTGCTTCCAATCTGGCGATATTTAAAAAACGTGCTGACGATATATTGTCGCACTTACATTTCGTTTTATGACTTGATCGCCAGGGGCAACAAAATGCAATCAAACGGTGTCTTGCCAAACGCCTAACCAATGGATTTATACGTTAAATACGCGAGCATCTCCGCTATTCTCTATAAGTCTATGGCGAGTCCACCACAACGCTTTTCACTTTATTGTGCAGTTGATTTTCGCAATAATTTCCATCTCACGTGACTTGTTCAGTGATGCTGTTTTACCCATAATAAACGATTGTTCCATTGCTCCATCATAATCATCATCATAAACATCAACATCCTCCTCATAATCAGTATCATCAGCTCTATCTTCATCATCCGTATCTTTATCAGCATCTTCAACAAAATCATCGTCATCTTTATCATCACCATCATCATCATTTTCATCGCATTCCACGTCATCAACATCATCATCAGCATCATCATAAGCATCATCCATCAAATGATCGCGGTGGCGTTCTAGTTTACATAAAGTCTTCCTTGTGTGGGAGACTAGTGAGCGCCTATCAAAGCGCTGATGGTCTATGTGAGCAGTTATGGTGTTCGATACACCTCAGACGCTGCGAGTTGCTCGTGGGCGTGGTATATCGCAGCCCACTGAGCCGCAGTTTGGACTGGTTGCCGCATGTCCGCAACCACATGAGTCGTCCAAAAATGCAACTCATGGGCGATTGCAACTTGCCCCGAATACAGTGGCCTGAAGCTGAAATTCTCGCCGGACACTGTGCGGTCGAGAGGAAGTTTACCGTGTTGATATTTGAAACCGCGGAAACACAGCACATCAACCAACCGACACGCATTACAGCGCGCGTGACTCCATCATGCTTAGACCTGCTGTTGACTAGCTGTGAGCAGCGTGTACATAACATTAAAGTCTTAGAGCCTCTGGGAGCGAGTGACCACTCAGTGATCATAGGCAGTTTAGAACTACCGCTACCGTATCCTCTCCCACTAGAGTCAACCTTCAACTATTGGAAGGCGGACTTTAATGGCCTCATTCGAGCAGCGAGCCAGATAGACTGGTCTTTACCACAGGATTCATCTATTGAAACCTGTTGGGCTATCATTAAAGAGGGAGTGAAATCGTTGTGCGCCCGATTTGTGCCCCTCAAATTTCGGAAAGTTGGGCCAGTCAAACCACATTGGTTTGACAAAGAGTACAACAAAATGGCCCGACGGCGACGTAGACTATGGAACAAATTCGTGTTATCTGGCTCTGATGAGGACTACAATGCGTACAAGGTACAACGAAATCGCTGCAACAACGCGAAAACAAGCAAACGCAGAAGCTTCGAAGAGGAGCTTGCAACTGCCGCAAAAACTGCTCCCAAGAGGATCTTCGCATATGTGAAGCGGCGCCTAAGGCCTATAGCTAATATCCCAGTGTTAGAAGGCTCAGAAGGACAGCCTCTAACCTCGAGTACAGATCGTGCGTCAGCATTGGCAACGCACTTCGCCTCCGTATTCGCAAGTGACCAGGTGTCTGTAATGAGTTCGACGAGCACCGCTCCAGCCGAACTTAACAGCCTGGACTGCAATATTGAGGATGTACGCAAGATTCTAGCAAATCTTGACGGGACGAAACCTGCTGGGCCAGATGGTATACACCCACTAATCCTCAAGTCATTATCGACCATAATTGCACCTTCTGTAACTGAACTGTTTAACAGGTCACTATCCACTGGTCTACTACCGGACGACTGGAAATGCTCAGTCGTAAAGCCTATCCCGAAAGGTGGTAACCCAAGCAAAGTGGATAACTACCGGCCGATCTGCCTGACGGCAGTTTTGGCAAAGACGCTCGAGAAGATCGTGAAGAAGAGCCTTCTGCAACTTCTCGAGTCGAAAAACCTGTTAACCTCCGCACAGCATGGTTTCCTGAAAGGTCGTTCGTGCATCACCAACCTACTGTTGACGAGGCACGAATGGTTACAAGCGCTGAACAAAGGCCAATCGGTTGACGTCATTTACATTGACTTCAGTAAGGCTTTTGACAAGGTTAACCATGCAGTGCTCCTTGACAGACTGAGGATGTGCGGTGTTGGTGGTTCGCTGCACAAATGGATCAGCAATTTCCTTATTGATCGGAAGTGGAGAGTCCAGGTGGACAACCATCTAACTGACTGGTATCCATCGAGCAGCGGCGTGCCCCAAGGCACTGTACTGGGCCCGATATTGTTTCTAATCCATATAAACGATGTGCCTCAGCTACTACAATCACATTGTGCTTTGTTCGCAGATGACTTGAAAGTGTGGAGAGTAATCCGCACACTCAATGATTGCGATTTACTTCAGCAGGATCTCGACCGCCTCTCAACATGGTCTGCAGAGGTTAACCTTCCGATCAACCCTGCCAAGTCGCAATTCATGAGGTTGGGTAAGTATGATCACGGCCGAACGTACACAGTGGCTGGTCAACCGTTGCATCCCGCTCCTTTCGTGCGCGACCTCGGTGTACTCTCACGCTGCGACCTAAAGTCCATTGACAACACGAATAGGCTGTACCAAAACAGCCTTCGTATGCTTTGGGCTCTCAGGCGCAGCTTTAGCACTTGGTCCGAAGAGATTGCCACTCGCCTCTTCGTCTCGATAATACGACCAATGCTGGAGTACGGCACTCCCGCATACTGTCCCATCACCCGGGGCGAAGTAGAAAAGCTTGAGCGGGTGCAGCATGTAGCCACTAGGCTGATTCCCAACTTACGAGGTATGCCATACGAAGACCGATGTAAGAAACTAGGGTTATACACCCTATCTTATCGTCGGCTGAGGGTTGACCTCATCATGACGCACCGGATATTACATCTGGGTGATTACCCCATGTTGAGACAACTACTTCATCTGCGCACACCAAGCTGCACGCGAGGACACCGGTATAAACTTATCGTCCCGGATTTGAAGCGGGTCGCCCATCAACTCTGTTTCGAACGCAGAGTGGTGAATGTCTGGAACGACCTGCCTCAGCATATAGTAGAAGCGAACACAGTGGCTAAATTCAAGATGCTACTAGACCAACAATTTGCAGAGGCAAAGTACAGAGAGCGAAACGATAAATAAAGAGTTCATGTCCGAAAACGACGAATGATGCAGCTACACAGAGCAACCTCTACTCGCTGCTTCGCACCAGTTCTCAGTTCTCAGTTCTCATCATCATCATCATCATCATCATCATCATCATCATCATCATCATCATCATCATCATCATCATCATCATCATCATCATCATCATCATCATCATCATCATCATCATCATCATCATCATCATCATCATCATCATCATCATCATCATCATCATCATCATCATCATCATCATCATCATCATCATCATCATCATCATCATCATCATCATCATCATCATCATCATCATCATCATCATCATCATCATCATCATCATCATCATCATCATCATCATCATCATCATCATCATCATCATCATCATCATCATCATCATCATCATCATCATCATCATCATCATCATCATCATCATCATCATCATCATCATCATCATCATCATCATCATCATCATCATCATCATCATCATCATCATCATCATCATCATCATCATCATCATCATCATCATCATCATCATCATCATCATCATCATCATCATCATCATCATCATCATCATCATCATCATCATCATCATCATCATCATCATCATCATCATCATCATCATCATCATCATCATCATCATCATCATCATCATCATCATCATCATCATCATCATCATCATCATCATCATCATCATCATCATCATCATCATCATCATCATCATCATCATCATCATCATCATCATCATCATCATCATCATCATCATCATCATCATCATCATCATCATCATCATCATCATCATCATCATCATCATCATCATCATCATCATCATCATCATCATCATCATCATCATCATCATCATCATCATCATCATCATCATCATCATCATCATCATCATCATCATCATCATCATCATCATCATCATCATCATCATCATCATCATCATCATCATCATCATCATCATCATCATCATCATCATCATCATCATCATCATCATCATCATCATCATCATCATCATCATCATCATCATCATCATCATCATCATCATCATCATCATCATCATCATCATCATCATCATCATCATCATCATCATCATCATCATCATCATCATCATCATCATCATCATCATCATCATCATCATCATCATCATCATCATCATCATCATCATCATCATCATCATCATCATCATCATCATCATCATCATCATCATCATCATCATCATCATCATCATCATCATCATCATCATCATCATCATCATCATCATCATCATCATCATCATCATCATCATCATCATCATCATCATCATCATCATCATCATCATCATCATCATCATCATCATCATCATCATCATCATCATCATCATCATCATCATCATCATCATCATCATCATCATCATCATCATCATCATCATCATCATCATCATCATCATCATCATCATCATCATCATCATCATCATCATCATCATCATCATCATCATCATCATCATCATCATCATCATCATCATCATCATCATCATCATCATCATCATCATCATCATCATCATCATCATCATCATCATCATCATCATCATCATCATCATCATCATCATCATCATCATCATCATCATCATCATCATCATCATCATCATCATCATCATCATCATCATCATCATCATCATCATCATCATCATCATCATCATCATCATCATCATCATCATCATCATCATCATCATCATCATCATCATCATCATCATCATCATCATCATCATCATCATCATCATCATCATCATCATCATCATCATCATCATCATCATCATCATCATCATCATCATCATCATCATCATCATCATCATCATCATCATCATCATCATCATCATCATCATCATCATCATCATCATCATCATCATCATCATCATCATCATCATCATCATCATCATCATCATCATCATCATCATCATCATCATCATCATCATCATCATCATCATCATCATCATCATCATCATCATCATCATCATCATCATCATCATCATCATCATCATCATCATCATCATCATCATCATCATCATCATCATCATCATCATCATCATCATCATCATCATCATCATCATCATCATCATCATCATCATCATCATCATCATCATCATCATCATCATCATCATCATCATCATCATCATCATCATCATCATCATCATCATCATCATCATCATCATCATCATCATCATCATCATCATCATCATCATCATCATCATCATCATCATCATCATCATCATCATCATCATCATCATCATCATCATCATCATCATCATCATCATCATCATCATCATCATCATCATCATCATCATCATCATCATCATCATCATCATCATCATCATCATCATCATCATCATCATCATCATCATCATCATCATCATCATCATCATCATCATCATCATCATCATCATCATCATCATCATCATCATCATCATCATCATCATCATCATCATCATCATCATCATCATCATCATCATCATCATCATCATCATCATCATCATCATCATCATCATCATCATCATCATCATCATCATCATCATCATCATCATCATCATCATCATCATCATCATCATCATCATCATCATCATCATCATCATCATCATCATCATCATCATCATCATCATCATCATCATCATCATCATCATCATCATCATCATCATCATCATCATCATCATCATCATCATCATCATCATCATCATCATCTCATCATCATCATCATCATCATCATCATCATCATCATCATCATCATCATCATCATCATCATCATCATCATCATCATCATCATCATCATCATCATCATCATCATCATCATCATCATCATCATCATCATCATCATCATCATCATCATCATCATCATCATCATCATCATCATCATCATCATCATCATCATCATCATCATCATCATCATCATCATCATCATCATCATCATCATCATCATCATCATCATCATCATCATCATCATCATCATCATCATCATCATCATCATCATCATCATCATCATCATCATCATCATCATCATCATCATCATCATCATCATCATCATCATCATCATCATCATCATCATCATCATCATCATCATCATCATCATCATCATCATCATCATCATCATCATCATCATCATCATCATCATCATCATCATCATCATCATCATCATCATCATCATCATCATCATCATCATCATCATCATCATCATCTTCATCATCATCATCATCATCATCATCATCATCATCATCATCATCATCATCATCATCATCATCATCATCATCATCATCATCATCATCATCATCATCATCATCATCATCATCATCATCATCATCATCATCATCATCATCATCATCATCATCATCATCATCATCATCATCATCATCATCATCATCATCATCATCATCATCATCATCATCATCATCATCATCATCATCATCATCATCATCATCATCATCATCATCATCATCATCATCATCATCATCATCATCATCATCATCATCATCATCATCATCATCATCATCATCATCATCATCATCATCATCATCATCATCATCATCATCATCATCATCATCATCATCATCATCATCATCATCATCATCATCATCATCATCATCATCATCATCATCATCATCATCATCATCATCATCATCATCATCATCATCATCATCATCATCATCATCATCATCATCATCATCATCATCATCATCATCATCATCATCATCATCATCATCATCATCATCATCATCATCATCATCATCATCATCATCATCATCATCATCATCATCATCATCATCATCATCATCATCATCATCATCATCATCATCATCATCATCATCATCATCATCATCATCATCATCATCATCATCATCATCATCATCATCATCATCATCATCATCATCATCATCATCATCATCATCATCATCATCATCATCATCATCATCATCATCATCATCATCATCATCATCATCATCATCATCATCATCATCATCATCATCATCATCATCATCATCATCATCATCATCATCATCATCATCATCATCAGTCATCATCATCATCATCATCATCATCATCATCATCATCATCATCATCATCATCATCATCATCATCATCATCATCATCATCATCATCATCATCATCATCATCATCATCATCATCATCATCATCATCATCATCATCATCATCATCATCATCATCATCATCATCATCATCTATCATCATCATTATCATAATAATCGGATTATTATCTTATTTATCATCATCATAATGAGCACCTTCATCCTCATCACAATTGTCATTCTAAACATCATTGTCATCATCATCGACTTCCTCTAAAACGTCTTCATCATCAGGATTGTCATCAGCATATTCGTCATCATTATTAACATATGATTGATTATCATCTTTATAGTAATCATCAACATCATCAGCGTCCTCATCATCCATAACATTATCATCATAATCGAACTCATCATTATCATCATCATCATCATCGTCATCATCATCATCATCAACATCGTCAACATCCTCGTCGTCTTCCTCTTCATCATTATCATGATCCCCTTCACCATCGTCAACATGCTCAACCTCATCATCGGCTGCCAAATTATCCAATGCTTTGGGCGGTGAGTCCGGGCTTCCGCACTTGTCTCGAAGAAATTTCTACTTGCCCCTTCTTCCCGATAATGCGACCAATTTTAAAATATGCCTCTCCTGCGTTTTGTCCATCAGGCTGGGATAGGTAAGAAAGCTTGTGTGTGTGCAGCAGGTAGTCATCAGGCTGACTCAAAAATAACGAGGTATGCCCTATGAAGACCGATGTAAGAAACTAGGGCCGTTCACCCTAGCATATCGTCGGCTGAGGGTTGACCTAATCATGACGCACCGGATATTACATCTGAGTGATTACCCCATGTTGAGACCACTGTTTCATCTGCGCACACCAAACTGCACGCGAGGACACCGTTATAAACTTATCGTACCGAACTTGAAGCGGGTCGCTCACCAAATCTGTTTCGAACGTAGAGTGGTGAATACCTTAAACAACCAGCCGCAGCCGGTAATAGAGGCGAATTCAGTGGCCGAATTTAAGAAGCTTCTAGACAAACACTTTGCAGAGTAAAAATATAGAGATCGGAACGAAAAATAAGGCGGATATGTCCAAGAGCGACGAATGATGCAGCAACAGAGAGAAAGCTCTACTCGCTGCTTCGAAACAATATTCAGTATACAGTTTTCAACATCATCAACATCCTCATCATAATCTGCATAATCAAACTCATAATCAATATTATGCTCATCACAATCATTATAATCATCATCCTCATGGTATCCATCATCATCATCATCATCATTATCAAAATCATAATGATCGTCAAGGTCAGCACCGTCATCATAATCGTAATCATCATCATCATCACCTTCATCTTCATCATCATCATCATCTTCATCAACATCATCACCATCATCATCATCATGGTCATTATCATCATCATCATCATCATCATCATCATCATCATCATCATCAAAATCATCATAATCATCTTCATCTTCTCCAGCAAGTGTACGGTCAACATCATCCTCATCTCATCATCATCCTCATCAACATCAATATTTTCTTTGTGAAAATCCTCATACTCATCCTCATCATCTTCGTCACCTTCATCATGTCATCGTCATCAACATCATCCTCATCATCACCATCATAATCATCGTCACCAACCTCACCTTCATCATTATTATCATACTCAACATCATTAATGTTGCCATCAGCTTCGCCAATATTATCCTCATCATCATCGTTTTTTATCATCATAATCATCATCGTCATCATCTACAACAACATCATCATCACGATCATCGTCAGCATCATCGCAATCATCATTATCATCCTCATAATTATCAGCGTCATTTTTAACATCATTATAATCATCATCATCTTCAACATCTTCATCATCATCAAAATCGTCATTATCGTAATCCGACTCTTATGCATCATATTCGGCATCGGAATCATAAGCATCACCACCATCATCATCAACGTCATCATTAGCATTATGATGCTTTTCATCATCGTCCTCATCAACAAACTTACATTATGATCGTCATCCTCATCGTTGTCTTATTCATCACCAACAGCATTTCCATCATCGCGGTCATAATCAGGCCATTGTGATCATTAACATCATACTCATCATCGTCTTCATCTTCATCATAACCATAATAAGCATCATCATTTTCATCAACGTCAAAATTATCATCATTAAATTTATCTTCGTCAACATGAGCAACCTGATCTTCAGCATCAACAGAAGCATCACTATCATCATCATCATCATCAAAAGAAGCATCGTCATCTTCTTCAGCATCATCATATCGATCGTTCATCATCATCATCATCATCATCATCATCATGAACATCATCATCATCATCATCATCATCATCATCATCATCATCATCATCATCATCATCATTATTATCATCATCATCATCATCTTCGTACTCATGGTCATCATGAACATCATCATCAGCGGCATCATCATCATCATCATCATCATCATCAATCATCATCATCATCATCATCATCATCATCATCATCATCATCATCATCATCATCATCTTCATCTTCATCATCATCATCATCATCATTATTGTCTTCATCTTCATCATCATCATCATCATCATCATCATCATCATCACATCATCATCATCTTCATCACGCCATCATCATCAATCATCATCATCATCTTCGCATCATCATCATCATCATCATCATCATCATCATCATCATCATCATCATCATCATCATCATCATCATCATCATCATCATCATCATCATCATCATCATCATCATCATCATCATCATCATCATCATCATCATCATCATCATCATCATCATCATCATCATCATCATCATCATCATCATCATCATCATCATCATCATCATCATCATCATCATCATCATCATCATCATCATCATCATCATCATCATCATCATCATCATCATCATCATCATCATCATCATCATCATCATCATCATCATCATCATCATCATCATCATCATCATCATCATCATCATCATCATCATCATCATCATCATCATCATCATCATCACTCATCATCATCATCATCATCATCATCATCATCATCATCATCATCATCATCATCATCATCATCATCATCATCATCATCATCATCATCATCATCATCATCATCATCATCATCATCATCATCATCATCATCATCATCATCATCATCATCATCATCATCATCATCATCATCATCATCATCATCATCATCATCATCATCATCATCATCATCATCATCATCATCATCATCATCATCATCATCATCATCATCATCATCATCATCATCATCATCATCATCATCATCATCATCATCATCATCATCATCATCATCATCATCATCATCATCATCATCATCATCATCATCATCATCATCATCATCATCATCATCATCATCATCATCATCATCATCATCATCATCATCATCATCATCATCATCATCATCATCATCATCATCATCATCATCATCATCATCATCATCATCATCATCATCATCATCATCATCATCATCATCATCATCATCATCATCATCATCATCATCATCATCATCATCATCATCATCATCATCATCATCATCATCATCATCATCATCATCATCATCATCATCATCATCATCATCATCATCATCATCATCATCATCATCATCATCATCATCATCATCATCATCATCATCATCATCATCATCATCATCATCATCATCATCATCATCATCATCATCATCATCATCATCATCATCATCATCATCATCATCATCATCATCATCATCATCATCATCATCATCATCATCATCATCATCATCATCATCATCATCATCATCATCATCATCATCATCATCATCATCATCATCATCATCATCATCATCATCATCATCATCATCATCATCATCATCATCATCATCATCATCATCATCATCATCATCATCATCATCATCATCATCATCATCATCATCATCATCATCATCATCATCATCATCATCATCATCATCATCATCATCATCATCATCATCATCATCATCATCATCATCATCATCATCATCATCATCATCATCATCATCATCATCATCATCATCATCATCATCATCATCATCATCATCATCATCATCATCATCATCATCATCATCATCATCATCATCATCATCATCATCATCATCATCATCATCATCATCATCATCATCAGTCATCGTAAATTTTCGAGTAGTTGCCTGGGTTCCTCCACGAATCCGGATCAACAGGTTGCTAATACTTCAGGCGCGCCCAGCGGGTCATACCGCGGTCCTGCGCGTAGCCTTTACTAACGTATGCAGTTTGATGAACAAACGCGATGTGCTGTACGACTTCGGTAAGCTCTCAGCGACCGGACGTATTAGGCCTTGCTGAGACATGGTTAAACTCCGACGTAAAACCGCCAGGGACTGGAAATCCCCGGCTACTCATGCTTCCGCTGTGATAGACCATCAAATGATCGCGGTGGCGTTCTACCCTTTACATAAAGTCTTCCTTGTGTGGGGAGACTAGTGAGGCGCCTGATATCAAAGCGCTGGAGTGTCTATGTGAGGCAGTTTATGGTGTTCGATACACCTCACACGACGCTGCGAGTTTGCATTGGGCGTGGTATATCGCAGCCCACTGAGCCGCAGTTTGGACTGGTTGCCGCGATAGTCCGCAACCACATGAGTCGTCCGATGTTCCTACTCATGGGCGATTTCAACTTGCCCCGAAAAACAGTGGCCCTGAAGCTGAACTTCTCCCCGGCCACTGTGAAGTCGAAGAGGAGTTTACGGAGTTGCTATTTGAAACTGGGGCCACACAGCACATCGACAATTGATTTTATTCAACTTTTTGGATTATCTTTGAAACACTCTCTAAGAGCGGGTATGAACTAAATAAGACAATCAGGCACACCAGCAAATTCATTGGTTCCTAGAAAAGCTCTGTTGCTTTGTGCAAGTATTTCCCGAAATGTACCCAACATTTTGACAGAATCTCCATTATATTCCCCACCATCAAATCTTAACTACGAGCAGTAGGTTTATCCTGCACATTTAATATCAAACAGTATGAAAGCCACGGCTGTATTAAATTAGAGGGCATAATTTTCTTGTAATGTAATATAGGATTCAAAAGAGACACGGTACCGCGAAGCGATTATTGAATTACTGCGATTAATGCAACTTTATGCATAATAATTTTACTATGCCTAGTTTCAAAGTATTGAAGCATAACTAGCTGTACTATTTCCTCTTGTTGATTTTATAAATCTCAGCAGCAGAAGCGTTCAACTGCTTTTGACATTAAAGCGTTCCCATAGGAATTAATGTAAGCGTGTTGTATAGATTCTATAGTATGAGGCACACTATTAAATGTATGATCGCTTCTAACAAAATAGCATAATTCAATTAGAATATTAAAAGAAGCTGCATGATAATGTTGAAACCAATTATGTTTGGAAGGTTAGTTGAAGAAAATGGCAACAGAGACTTGTCTGCAAGAAACATTCAACGTACAATAAGTAGGAAATCGGCTAGTGCTATCAGTTTAATTTCACGAAAATATATACATAATCTTTGCTGAACCCAGAATTTACGCAGGTCCTTGAAATATCATTTGGATTTATGCAGCATATTTAGGTCAGTGTCGCGTGTATAAATGCGCAGCTGTTAGTCAAATACGCACTTAAAACGTTGATTAACAACAAATTACCATGAACTGAGAGGTGTTTCATGGCGTGGAAGATTTCCTCTAGGGACTGCATGCTATGCCTACCGATCGAGCTATCTTTCCCAAGGTTGGTCCCTTACATGGGGCAGTACATATTTTAAAAAGTTAAAACGGCTTCCAATAAAATAACCTACAAGTTTGAGTGAATGCATTAAAGTTTTTTTGTTTTGTATGGAGGCATCTTCTAACGAGCCAGTTTGGGTTTGGGCCAAGTATTTATCGTAACTTCCTGAGCGTTGTTTTATGTTTGTCGATCCATTGCTTCTGAGAAGGCGTTAGAGAAACTGGTTCTATTTTAGGGGTTGTGTCGATTGCTCTACGGGGACAGTACTTCACAAGCCTGTTTGGTAAATTAAAGCCCTCTAACATCCAAGTTGCACAAAAATCATCAGATATGATTTTCCCCTTTGGCATGTCGGTGATTACAAACGGTGTGCATGGAGAGCCCAATCCAAGGTCACGTCGACCAGGTCACAAATAATATTCATGCAGTTGCCTTTTTATCTTGCTGAATTTGTGGTTGATGTTTACCTAGTGCCATCACATAACAGTGCAGCATGACCTGGCTTAAAAGAGTGCTGATTTTGTTGAAACGTTTCCAGTAACGGTTGGCGTACGACGTATTTGTGCAGTGAAAAGCAGGAATGCACCACTTCTCCTGCTAATAGAATGCCCTTTCAGATTTTTAAGATCAAGTATCGCGTAACATTGGGGGGCGGCCTCGGCTTAAATTTAGCCTATATATATATAACTGCTAGGAAATATCAGGTACGATTATGGCTGTCATTCCGCATGTTAACACGATCAGATCTAAAGGCTGCGACGGTACTGCAGCAAAACTTTACTAAGTCACATTTTCACCTGCGAAAATTTACTCATACTGCGAGGCGTTTAAGTTCCTCCTCAATACTGAATCTACTTTTGTCCTCGACTAAGCAATGTGGGCATGAATCTGTAATAAAAGCTTCTCTACGAACAATCCAACACATCCACCGTACAGCGCAACGTATTAAAATCTTTGTAATGGGATTTATTAACGCCCTCACCGGAACTGAATTCTGTTCGGACCACTCTTCCCAGTTTTACTATTCAATACATATGAAGCAGGGTATTCAAAATAAATAGCATTACATTCTTATAGCATTAGCTTCTAAACTGAAAACCGGGCAACGAGTGCATGTCAAGTTGTCTGGCACAGAACATCTTAATCGCAATGTTATTCGAGACTTATTCTATTGGTATAATTACCATGCGTTGCACAATACATTGGGAGGAAACGCTGTTGAACTATATAATCTATACAGAGGTGCCGCTTTTCAAGAAAGCAAAACATTATTCCTTTATTTACGCAATGTATTTGTGATAAATATTTTTTGAAGTAACGGGTCACTTTCGGCTGTAAACGGCCAGTATGAATTTAATGCTTCAGGATCAAGCGATTACGACATTTGAAAGCACCGAGGTCGATTTCATCAAATTCAGAAAACATTCGTTCAACTGGGTAAAGAGACAGGAGTTGCTCTTAGCGCTCTTATGTACACATTGTTAAAGTTGTCTGTATAAAGTAGGATATGGTTTTGCCGCTGATGCTACGCTTATGTCGCATGCTGCAAGCAAGTTGTGTAGGTGGATAGATAGTGGTAATTGTAACGCTATGCGTAGAATGCGGTATTTTTGATATCTGATCCTATAGGGGTTCCCTTTCTTATTAGCAGCCGTGATCAACATGGACAAATTTCTCACGATCAGGCTAATGGTTTATACTGGCTATCTGTACTTTACAGAATTTCGTATTTAGATTGTTGCACGTGGTGCACTGTTGAAGTTACAACAGGTGAAGCTGGAGAAGACCGGCAAACACACTGCTATTTATCGCTTGGCACATTATATATGCGTCAGCAAAACGCCTAGAATGTAAGGCGATAATTCAAGCACAGTTTTCCAAAAACATTAATAACTACTATCCCTGCACTGAACTCTGTCAACTTTCAGATGTCACATTCCGTTTGAGGCTTGCTCGCCTAACTCACAAGATAATGATTCCTCCGGCGCTTACATAATGTGCAATGATTAGGGCTTTTGGAATCCTTTAATAGTGTTTAGCACTGACAGCATATCCCGGCAAGCGATGACGTATAGTATCTGATCAGTAACGGCTTTAGAGTCTGGATTGAATTCATGCTTCCACATTGTGAGAACTGTTTTTCAAGGAGGAACCTATACACCAATCGCGACGATGACACTACTACTGTCGAGAGGGGAACATTTAGTGTCCCTACACGAACGTTTTCATCCTCAAAAGAGGCATAAACTATTTCAAAAAGGATTTCAAGTTTATCAAGCCACTTGCTGAAGTTTGGTAATATCTGCACACCTAGCCCTATTAAGTGCAACTAGAGTTAGAGTACGAATTTTGAAGGCAAGGCAGCTAGTTAGCGTTGCCCACATTCAATTGATGAGTTCTAGATGAGACATATCCAATTATGAATAGTTGATTTTAAGTGGAAGAGTTTTAATTCTTATAAAATAATGCAAATGGTCTGCAACACAAATAAACTTCCAACCTTTGGAGTGGTAAATTTGTAGGGAAGTAATTCGCAGTTGTTCGAATGATACTACTTGGTTTAGAAAAGAAATCCACTGGTCCAAGTGAAATAGTAAGTAGGTTCCTTTGATTTGGTCCCATGTTATGAGCTTTAGGTATGTCCCGAAGGCAGTGAGTTAAGTAAACACCGTTTATGGTCGCAGTGTGAATGATACGATATTTCTCCAATGTGAAAGGTTTATAAAGATAACAAGAATTGCAAATCGCTGCCAAATAGTCATTGCTTCTATTATAAACTGGACATGTCCGACTACGTAATATGTGGGTATATGGCAGGTGGCACATATCCAAGAGAGAGGATGATGGAAGCTGAACGCAATACAGCATAATTTAGCACAATGACGCCTACATTCTGCAATGTTAAAGCAGTGCGCTCGCAGACATGGATATTATTTTTCCACCGTTAGTAATTTGCACGTACAAGCTGGTAGAACTCAGACCCTAATAAATGCGCTTTAGCAAGTTATTTGTTGTATTTGAATTCGCCTAAATACCTACTGGATGCAAGGCTAGATAGAAATTGCCGATTACCAAGTACAGCGTCGGAACTTATGCAACTTTTAATTGGTTATCCGGTACACAGTCTAACAAGGAATATTATATGTATGTAGGGCAACCGCGGCACCATAATCTGCTGTTCCCTTATACACTTAAATATAAGCATCCTCTTATATTTGGTTAACAGGATACATGAGTGTTCAAGAATTTAGTAGTATTCGGAAGTCTTAAATTTACCAAATCTTCTTAGGGTAGAAATTTTTCTAGTATTGCTTCAAGATGCACATTTCGGATTCCTAAAATTAGTGGCGTGTCGACAACACACCCAGTCTACTTAGTAGAAAATTGAATACTGAATAC